CCTTCTCCATTCTCCTCTTGGGATCTTGGGCACACATGCACACGCGCCCGGTGTGACTTTTAAGCCACTGGGTCCAGGACGCGAACCGCGATCTACTACGTGGGAGTCCAGTGACATAGCCATTACGCTAACTGCTGGTTCCCTTTGTCTTATATGTTAAAAGCTAGGGGCAGTAAAGTTAGTCTCAAATAATTACATCATTTCCTAGACTTTGTGCAAGAAACATGTCCCCCTTCCCAAAACAGGGAACAGTTAATAAAGAGACCTGGAACAAAGTCAGAAAACAAATCAGGAAGTGATATACAACAGAGGGTCCTAACAGGATTCCCATTTTTGCCTTCTCCCTGTGAAATTTAATTAAAGAGTTTTTGAGGCAAAACCTTCTGGAAAAAAAAAAAAAACCACGGAACTGGCCTAGTAACTAGACTATAAAACATCTTGAAGGGATACACCTCTCTCCTACCTAGAAAAGCAGTCTTTAACTAAAGACAAAGACAGAGAGGTGGGGCCTGATAGTGAAAGCGACAGTCTTTTGGAGCTAGACAGATTGAAGATTGCAGATTCTAAAGCACCTGAAGAAGAGGAAGAAAAGGAAGCTAGTGCTTTTTGGTCTTGAGCTCCCCCACTGCAGTCCACTGCTTCCTAGTCAAAACCTGCTTACATAACAGAGCTGGGAAAAAACAGCACACACACACACACACACACACACACACCCTGACTCCCCTCTCCAGAGAGCTTTATATTGCACAACAGATAGAGGGAAGGTTATTTAAGGATTTAAATTGTGTCCAGTTATAGAGGCTCCAACCCTAACAACCTGGAACAAACTCAGTGTCAACATGAGCCGTTATCCTTTAAAACTAAAAAGACTAAAAAAACTAAAAGCAGCGTATCAACATAGTCCCGTGATGCCACATACAACGGCAATATTAAAAACAACTACCTAATGATGGACAAGTGTTAGACAAGATATACTTGTCAAAAAGAGATTATCTTTTGTAAAAGTCAAATTAGTCTCTAAAGGCCCCAAAACAGACAAATAAAAATCAACAATATAAAATACCTATTACATTTAAAATGTTGACTAAAACAAAAAATTATACCAATATTGACACACAAATTAGATATGTGTTATGGAACTATCAACAGATTAACATTATATGCTTGAGATACTAAAAGGATTCCCAAGTCATAATAAAAAAACAATCTGACCAGCGTGTGGCAGAAACCTAGTAAGCCATTTCGAGATTTTATTTCCCACTTGACACAAGCCACACGGCAGCTAGTCTCTGACCAAAAAGTGAGACAAATTTTATTAAAACAATTGACCTTTAAAAATGCTAATGCCTCTTACAAAACAGCTACTACCCCAGACAAAAAACAAAAACAAAACCAAAAACAAATTGATTATATTAGACCTTGTCAAGATATTTTTTTGTTTGCTTATAACCACATGTTCATAAGCTGCTGATATATACTAAAAGCTAAGTTTGCTAAGAGTTTAAATATTCTGGTAACTATGTCCTACATACGAAGTTACAACCTTAATGGCTTTTTCAAAAGTGTCACATTCCCCAGGCTAAAAAATAAATAAATAAATAAATAAAGATTGGGTATGAGAAATCATGGGGGTGGGGTGGCGGGATGGCCATGCCACAGTCCCTTCTCCTCCATTGCCGGGGACCAGCCTCGGCGGGGGTGGGTTTGCTCGATGGAGGCGATGCTGGAGGGAAAGAAAGACAAAGGCCTCGTGCTTTTTCATGCACGTCCTAAGCCGGACACCCCTCTAAGATCGCTCTCTGAGGAGTGACAACTGCTAGGAATCACCGTGCCTTTTTATTGAAAATGGGATACATGCAAGTAAATGGGAGAGGGGCTACGTGTACTAATGATCAATTCATAATGTTTTAACAATAGAAACCATGCAGGGTTTGATTAAGGGCAAGTCTATTAATCATCGATACAGTTCAACAATTGTTTGATTGATGAAAGCAGGTTCCTGGTAACTTCAAGCAGTGCAGTTTCAGGAAACAGTTCCAGCAAGCAGAGTTAACTATCAACCGATGTTCAGCAGCAGCCGTCTTATGATTACTAAAAGAAAATCTCAAGCATAGATATTAGTTCTTATGGATTTTCATAAAGAATGATACTTATATAATTCTATAGGGATTTAAAAC